ATGGAATAGTGGTAGCGGAATGTACCACAGACACCAAATTCAGGCTTTTATCACTAATCCATATCTTCATGGCAAGAGGATTTCTCTTTTGACTGTCAGGAGTTTTTCTGTAAATGCTGATGAACCAACCTCAGTCACTTGTTTGTCAGTTGGTCAGACAGACAGCAGGACGCCAGGTGAAGGAACATCAGCAACAATCCCACTGCTGAATTTCTCTGGAGGAGAGAATATGGTCGATATCATACATCTCTGCCTCTGGTAAACACTGTCCATCACTGTCAAGAGGAGCTAGCAGCAGGGATGATTCTACATTAGTCTGTTCACAAAATTTGCTCATTTCGCTTGGAAGAATTGAAGTAGCTTTTCTATTAGTCCAATCACACTGCTATGCAACTGAGCTGCTGGATGGAATGTGGAGGGTTTATGGTTGATCAGGCTCATGAATTTCAGTCTCTCCCCTGTCTATTTTAATAATAGTTGCATTAGATAATTTTTAACATAGAGACAACTTCAATTCCTCCAAGTTCCAGGATGTGAGAGGGCCCTTGCGTGGCTGTGGTGTAGTGGTTCTTGGAGAATCGGTGTACTCATTACTTTGTTTTTTTTAAATCAGCCCGTCCAGCAAAGGATAAACGTTGTGTGTCATCTATGGGCCAGAAGTTTCTTTGTAAACTGTTACCTGGAACAGCGTACCACCATTATAAAACTACAATTTATTGACATGTTTGTCTGTTTGCAAATATTACTACATAGTAGTACACTTTTCAAATATTAGTATATAAATAAGGGATCCAGGATGGTATTTTAAATCATTCTTTAACATTGCAGGATATTTATTGAGCTCTACTCAAATAATTCACAGATCTTGGTGAAAAAAGAATCATTCATTTCTACTTATGATTTTATGACGATCCAAACAGAAATCTGGATGAATAAGTGAATTTGAATGTGGTCTCATAAGAGGACTGGTGAGCCCTTCTATAGTTTCATTTTAATTCTCATATTCAAACAACGTTATATTTTCCTCATTCGCTCCAACACATTGAGAGCGACCTCAGGATTGCAGACAATGGGATTCACAGAAAGTAGACGGGCTCTGGTTTTATTTTGAAATGACTCCGGATATAAATAATGCAGCTGCAAGCTGCGAGTGTTACTCAGATGGTGGTCATACGACATCGTGTTTCCTCTGACTTGCCTTCTGGTGTTTTTACGCAGCCGCAGGTGAGTACAGATAAAGTATATACAACTAATAATGATCTATGCGTTAGTCTGTGGATTCACGAAGCCAGCGCACCGA